ATCAGTAATTATTTCAAGCACTAATTAGCACAACTAATGTTCGTGGTGCCATTGGAAGTGTGCCTCGCAACAGCTGAAAAACTCCTACTCCTGCTGGGACGTCTCTGTCGTGGGAATAATCCCTGAGATTGTGAGGTTTGGTGCCACAGTCATTTCGTTACCACCTCCTAAGAAGCACCAGGAATTGGTGCAAAAAGGAGTAGCTTGGTCATCAAGCTCCCAGTGAAACGCAGGCTGAAGTCAAGCTGATCCAAACTGATCAATATTTAACATCGTGTCCTTCGCCAGGCCTCCTGGAAGAGGGAAAGGTGCTGACCAGAGGCTCCTTTTCTCTATTTGTCATATGAAGAAACCGAGACCAGCCCCCATGCTCAGAGGGTAGCAATAGTCTTAAGATGAGTTTCTCCTCATTTTAAAGATGGGGAGACCGGCTGAGTCACACAAGCCATAGGATGCACACGTGGAGGGCAGTGCCTTTTACCTGGGTGGGTCCACCTGCAGGAATGTGGCTGTTCTTCCTGAGAAGGGAACTCAACAGAGTCTATACAAAGAGGTCTCATCGGGGCCGCATCAGGATGACGGCTTAACAAGCAGGAATGTCAGGAAGCAGGAGCAGAGGTTGTCAAGGGAAGCTTCATGTCCTTGCAACCCTCCTGGGTACTAACTGCAAACTGTTTTGGAAGACAGGCTTGTACTTAGAGGATGGAGAAATCCAAGTTTTACATTTCCTGACCTGTGATGGCTCACGGTCCAACCTGACTGCTAAGCTGATGCGCTGAACGTCCTGGGGATGGGGATGCCGACTGTGTGTGTGTGTGTGGAGTGTGTGTGTAACCATCCACCCAAAACAAAGGTGTTTTCTGTGACTCCATCTCTAGGAGTGGACATAGATACCGTCGCCAGGAATTCAGGATTATCAGGTCCCGTGCTGGCATGAAGGGCGCCCCACAACATCTACCCTGTGCCTCCAAACAATGGGTGATGGTCAGTTGAGATCTAAGGGAAGAAGTCTAAATGTTATTATTATTTTTTACATTTCTAAAGGAGTCTCTGTGAGTCCCATCCCTCCAGCATCCATGATGCATCTTTCTCTGATGTAAGCCAGCAAATGGTGCTAGAATACAGACTGGAGGCAGGGGCTGCCTGTCCCCAGCCAGGGGCAGCAGATGTGCCACAGGCCTGATGAGAAGCACAGGTCTCCTAGTCCGGGACTAAAACTCCTCCTTCACTGTAGCTTCCTGTTGGGGATTTCACCGGCCCCTCCGTTTTTTGTTTGTTTTTTCCCCAAATGAAGGAGGACTCTTCCCATTTTGCAGATGAGGAACTGAGGCCGAGACCCAGAAGCCAAGCCCAGGCGTTTGTGACTCGGTCAGTGCTCAGAGCTGGGGCGGGGGTGGGGAAACTATGACAGTGTGGATCCTGACAATGAGATCTGTCCTCTGAATTATCAGCTCAGCCTTTGGAGGAGCCAGTGTGACCAGGAAACCATGGCCTTCCTCACGAGAACACGGGAGGAGGATGGGAATGGAATATGTCCAACTCACAGCTCACTTCCCTCGCCTCACCCAGGGGATCCAAGCCAACCCCCAGTTCCTTTCCCACAGATGCCGGATCCTCACCCGCCAACGTCTCCAAGTGTGAAATAAAATGGAACAGATCAGGATCTTGTTAGTGGAGCAGCTCTTGGGATGGAGAGGGGGCAGAAAGTCCATTCTTTCACAGAAGGTGCGGACGACACAAAGACCAAACTCTGGAAGTCTGGGGTTTCACATCCGTGAGGTCTGACATGGGAACACTGGCCATGCATTGCTATTGAACCTTTGCAACGTGTAAGTGCAACAGAAGGACCAAATTTTTTATTTCAACAAGTTAATTAACCTAAACTTAAATTTTAAAACTGATCACTCAATGTGGTTACTGGAAAACATAAGTATGTATAGAGCAACTTAGGTTTATAAATCTACTTCTTCAATCATAAATGTTATGAAATCCAGGCACTTCCAACGTAGAGGCAGCATCTGAATTCAGATATGCTGTGCGTGTAAAATACGCACCAGAGTCTGAAGACTTAGTTTGAAGAAAATGTAAAACATCTCTTTAATAACTTTTTATATTGATTCATGTTGAAACAATCACATTTTTAGATATATTGTGTTAAATAAGATGTATCATTAGAAGTCATTTCACCTGTTTCTTTTTATACATTTTTTTTAACGGGGCTACTGGGAAATTTTAAATTGCATATCACATTTCCATGGGTTCGCTACTCTCGATGTTAATGTCACCAGGGATAGTGCTGGAGAGCGGACATCCTGGCTCAGAGGTTCATTTGTCACTGGCCCTCTCCTATTGCTAAAGGTCCCTCCGGAGTATTTTGCCCTCTCCCTCCTAACTACGGTTTCAACAACACTGACTTTCGTGAACATGCACTTCCCCTCATCCTCACCCCACCGACGGCCTCTTCTCCCACTCAGGCCTCCTCCACCCTTCTCTCCTCTACCCCTTAGAAAACCATCTTCTACCACCCGTTTCTCAGGCTTTTCCTTTAACACCACCTTCTCCGGCACATCTGTGACTTGAAACTGCTTCATCAGAGGTTGAGGTCCTCCCCAGAGGTCCAGGTCCTCCCCAGAGGTCTCATGGAGGGGCCTTCACATTCTGTGCTGCTCTGGCCTCTCTCCCACCACAGGCTCGGCCTTCACCCTGAATGCGGTGCTGGGGGTTCATGGCCTCTTCTCTACCCCCAACCCACCTTTCCTTTGTTCAGCCCCCTTTCTCACTGACCCTCTGTCTCAGTTTGGATTTCTGGGAAACAGACCACGCACGGAGACGGAGAGCCGGGCGTCAATGGGAGGGACTCTTAGGGACAATGCCTGTAAGAAAGCAAGAGATGAGGGCTTCCCTGGTGGTGCAGTGGTTAAGAATCCGCCTGCCAATGCAGGAGACACAGGTTCAAGCCCTGGTCCGGGAAGATCCCACATGCCACAGAGCAACTAAGCCCGTGCACCACAACTACTGAGCCTGCACTCTACAGGCCACGAGCCACAACTACTGAAGCCTGCACGCCTAGAGCCTGTGCTCTGCAACAAGAGAAGCTACCGCAATGAGAAGCCTGTGCACCGCAACAAAGAGTAGCCCCCGCTCGCCGCAAATAGAGAAAGCCCGCACGCAGCAAAGAAGACCCAACGCAGCCAAAAATAAATAAAATAAATACATTTTTAAAATTCTATTAAAAAAAAAACAACAGAGATGGGACTTCCCTGGTGGTCCAGTGGTAAAGAGTCCACCACTGGACTTACAGTGTGGGGGACGCAGGTTCAATCCCTGGTCTGGGAACTAAGATCCCACATGCCGCGGGGCAGCTGGGCCCTCGCGCCACAACTGCTGAGCTCGCATGCCTCAACTAGAGCCCACGCGCCACAGCTACAGAGACCATGCGCCCTGGAGCCTGCGCGCCACAACTACAGAGAGAAAACCCACATATCACAACTAGAGAGAGGCCCGCATGTCACAAGGAAAGACCCCGCATGCCGCAACTAAGACCCAATACAGCCAAAACTAAATAGAATAAATAAATAAATAATCTTTAAAAAAAAAAATGAGAGAAATGGGACGGCAGAGACTGAAATTGAGCTGGACGCAGTTTCCCCAGAAGCTGATCCCTCAGGAAACTCCGGAGCTGGGATGGCCCTTCAGAGGCCTCTGGAGCAGAAGTAAATCACCCAATCGGATCCGGATGCCCCCAAGGAGGGGGGACCCGGCTCATCCTGCCCCCACTGAAGGGACCCTCTCAGAAGCCCCTGAGGAGCGCCTCATCGCCGAGTCTAGCCCCGTTTCCTTGGGCGCCCTCCTCTTCAGCACCCCTGGAGCTGGGCCCCTGCAGGACCTGCCCTCTCCTCCGTGATGTGGCACCAGGCACTGCACAGACCCCCGCCAACCGGGGCAGTTTCTTTCACCCACCCTTCCCCTGCTTAGACCGGGTTCTGCCCTCAGTCCGGCCTGCCCTGCCTGGTCTACACTCGTCCTTCATCTCAGCTTCTCCGTGCTCCTGTTGTCTCCCTCTCCCCCAGCGGCCCGAAGGCCTCCTTCCTGAGCCCCTCACCCCAAGCAGCTCTGTAGACCTGCCTCTGCTGCCTCTTCCCCAGTCACCCCCCATTTCAGTGCTTCCTCCCCAGGGACTATTGCCGTCACCTCCCTCAGAGGCCCCCATCCCACGTCCCCTCTGTCCCCCTTTCACAGCCCGAGGTGCGGGGAGGATGGCTGTCAGCCCTGGACCAACAGCCTGGTAAATGGGTAACGGCGCTCTCTGTGCTCAAATTTGAAAAGACCACGGTTGGGTAAGCTCAAGCCTCTGCTGCTTTGGCAAGTAACAGGAACCGTGAGGCCCCACCGGTTGGATCCAGTTCAGGCAGCTTTGCCCCTGCTCTGGGCCAGGGCGGGACAGATGGGCTGTGTCGACTCTTGCTTTTTTCTCCAGTCCGGGAGGGGACCTTGACTCCCAGAGCCCAGGAAATGGAAAGCTGACGGCCCACAGGACTCTCAGAAGGACAGGGCTGGGATGGGGTCTTCCTTGTGTACGTGGGTCTGGGGGGAAGCAGGGAGGAAGGGGAGGCTCTTTGTGATCACACGGGCCGGTCTTTAGAGTCCCCGCACACCCCCACGGCCAGCTTCCCCCACTACCCTGAGGGGTTTCACGCCCCACTAGGGGCCCACTTTGGGGGACAGGGAGACCTCCGGGAGGCCCGGGTAGGGTGTCTGCAAGCCGCCCGACTTCCATCCATCCACCCATCCATCCATCCATCCATCCCCCACCCCCCTCGCAGGGACCCTGGGGCCACTGCACAGCTGCCCTGACTCGGAATGGATTCGCTTCGTGCGCTCCGAACGGGAGAAAGGCCAACCCCTAACAAAGACGGGCGGCCGGCGGGGCGGTGGGAGAAGGAGCCCGGGTATTGGAGGGGCCGGGGGTGGGCGCTCAGGAGGCGGGGCGCGGCCGCAGGAAGTGCAGAGCGAGCGCGGGGCTGAGCACGGCTGCGGTCCTCACCCGCTGGCCCTGCAGCCCCGCCCCGGCGCCGGCGGCCTTCGCTGCGGAGCCCGCGACCGGTGAGTGCGGGCGGGGGCGCGGGCGGGGGCCCGGCGGCCGCTCGGGACTCCCGCGGGAGGGGCTGGGAGTTGCGTGGCCGAGAGCGGCCCGGCGGGCCCGGGCAGCCGACTCCCGGGAGGATGGGGGCAGGATGGGGCGAGCACGCACCGCTGGCTGCCGTGTTCCCATCCGCCCTCCGGAGACTGCCGTCTGCACTTAGTGTCTCGGGAGGGAGCTCGGGACCTCAGTGCGCGTCTGTCCCTCCTCCAAACGTCATTCTCTTTGTCCACCCGGACTTCTGGTGGCTCTTATGCACGGGCCCGAGGTGACAGGCCCAGAGCCATCCTAACTAGAATGGGTACAGCCCTTGGTTCCGTACCCCCGGCAAGGCCTTGCCCGGTGTTGGCAGCTGGCGTGTCTCCTGTGCGAGCACAGGATCGTTCTCGGTGGGTCCGTCTGCCTGCCAGGGTGGTCCACAAGTTTCACGGGCCCATCTGTGCATTTGGGGGAACCCGGCTCTGCAGGCCCTGTCACCTGTGTGTCCTCCCTGTGCCTGCAGCTGGCTGGCTTGGTATGGAAGGACAGAAGGTGTGGAAGGTTCTAGGTGTATTGTTTTCACCAGCTGTACGTTCACACACATGACTTGGCTGGAAATATGAAAGGGGCATCTCGAGCAGGGTTTCAGTTGCCAAGGGTGCGGGGGTGAGTTCTGGCCGTCTCAGCACATGGGCACCCACTGTGGGGCAGGGTGGCGTGGAGAGAAAAGGGAGCTCCTGGAAAAACCCCAAGTGCACCCTAGGGCCTAGGGTAGGTGGACGTGTGGGGAGAGACCTGGGTGGTATTCGGCCGGAGCGGGTGGTCTGTGGTTAGCTGTGGGCAGCTGGATTAGAGGTGGAGTTGGAGACCTGGGTTTGAACCAGAACTTGGTGGAGGGTCACCACGGCAGTAGCGTGTTCCCTGCGCCTGTCCCCCTGGGACTCAGTTGCTTCGTGTGCAAAATGGGACTAATGACTGCTGTCCTGCCCACCTCGGGAGGTGTCTGGAGGCTCAAGTTAGCTAAGCAAAGTGCTTTGACAGCGGGGAGGCTCCAGGGACAAAGGGTGAAGGCCAGGCCCACGGGCGCGCCGATCGGGCTTTGGGGAATGCCTCGGGGGCCAGGTTTGTGGGCTGCAGCAGGAGCTGTCTTCACGCCGCTCCCTAGAATATTCCAGAGATAGGAGTGTCTGCCCGGTGCCAGGCCTCAATCTCTTGGAGTGTGAGGTATTCGCAGGCCTGCCTGGTGCTGTCCCTTTGGTGTGGATGCTTCCACAGCACAAGAGGACAGCCGGCTTGGCAGGTCTTCAAATCATAGCCCTGGAGCAGCTCAGCTGTGCAGAGACCCTCCTTCAGGTGGGCTGGGACCTTCACACCCACCGGCTGGCTTTTCTCTGCTTATCACCACCACCAGAAGCAGTCAGGCCACAGTTCAGGCCAGGGAGATGGCAGAGGAGGGAGCTCTCTGTCCCTGATCACCAGCCTCAGGGTTCCATCTTCTGGTCACAGGGCATCCTCTAGAACCAGCGCTGTACCTGCCGAGGAGGGCAGGGAGGGTGTCAGGAGTCCTCACAGCCCCAGACACTGGGATGTGGTTGTGGTTTGTCACCCCTGGGTGTCACCTGTCACCAAGGCTTCTTGGCCCGTAGTAACTGCTTAGTAAAGAAGCCCTGGAAACCCGGGTTCAGTGCAGCTCGGCTTCCTACCCGCTGTGTGACCTGGGGAAAGTCCCTTCACCTCTCTGGGTCTGTTTCCTCGTTGGTCAGAATCAGCATCTTTCCAGATTGTAGTTCTGGTCTCAGCTCACATTTCACGTCCTCAGAGAGGAGGTGACCCTCTATCCAAAGTGGCCACCTCCCGGCCTCAGTCACATTGCCCTGATCTGTCTCCTTCCTAGCAGTCTCCGCACCATCTGAACCGCTCTCAGCTGCGTCCAGCCACACTGAGAGCTTTGCCGAGGAGGGACCTCCTGTTACCTGCTGGCTCACCGCACCTGGAACCTAGCAGGTGCTCCGGAGAAGCTGTGTCAGCGGGTGAGTAACTCAATAAGGGAGATGGATGCGCGTCTTTCACATTGTGCTCCTGGGAGCTTGTGAGGGGGGAGCGGGCCCATAGGCAGGGCCCTGGGCTCTGCACACCCCAGCTCGGGACTGATGTGAGTTAGAGGCTGGCTTCCATATAGGACTTCCCTTGAAGAAAGGGCCCTCCCATTAAAATAAAACTAGAAAACCATTGCATCCAAAGACGATGGGGCCTTTTCAACTCCAAGTTGAAATAACAGTACTGGGACGGGGAGTAACGCATCCCCAGCCATCTGGGGATGACCAGAGGCTGTGGTTCAGACACGCAGAGCTGTCATCCCATCAACCGTCACTGCTTGGCCGTGGAATTCATGATATGGTTGCTTTTTTGCAACTGGTTTAATTTCCTGAGCTTTGGGTCAAGATTAACGTGAAGAGGATTCTGCATCAAGGGGTGTGCGGGGTTCTGGACCAGAAGGAAGCCGTGGACATCACAGAGTGCATAGGAGACACGCTGATACTGGAGAGCTGCCTGTGCGGGGTTCCCGTCTGCCATCATCCTCCCTTGGGTGTGTCCCAGGCAGACTGCCCAGATGCACGTGTCTCTCCCCAGTAGTTTGCTCAGCCTGGTTTTTCTCAAGTAGTTGGTAGTGGAGGACGCCCTTCTCTCTGAGTGACTCCTGAGCCTGGAGAGCCAGGTGGATGGCATGCCATGCCCTATATTGAAGCAGCCACGGAAAACATCCCTCCTTTGTCGCTTCTTGTCAATTCATTTGTGAATGGCGGGGTGACTCCCCTGCCCGGCGCTGTGCCCAGGTTTGGGGCACAGAATACAGTTCATCACCACCTTTGCTAAACCCCAAGGGCTGGGCGTCAGTAGTTCACCCAAGGACGGGAAAGGGGGTTGAGTTGTTTGTGGGGTTGTTTTAGGTGGCTGGTTGAGGAGAGAGACAGGGGAGAAGTGGACAGAAGGGACTGAGTGCAGGACACAGCCCTCTGCTAATTCCTCTGACGGTTGACCTTGCTTCTTGTACGCATCCCTGCTGGGCTGACGCTTGTGCGTTCCTGGGTCCAGAAGCTTTAACCTTCCAAGAGGGCAGAGCCAATAGAGGTGGTGGAGGGGGAAGAGGGGTTCGGGGTCGGGGGGTCAATATTCTCACGTTCCCTGTGTGCCACAGGCCTGAGAATTATAAAGACCCAGCCCTGACCTCCGAGCATCCAGCTGTGAAGGAGATGAAACTTACTCCCCGGAGGAGAGGCGAGAACAGCTGAGTGCAGACTGCAGCGGGGGGTGGGGGTGGGGGTATCACCCAGGCCACAGCTGGAGCTCAGAGAAGGGTCGGGAAAGTGCCAGGGGGCAGAGAGCCCGGGGCGGTCAGCTGTCCAGCCTGGAATCTGGACTCTGCCTTCTCCTGAGCGCCTTCCGTGATCTTTCCTGCTCTGTAAGCGGAGGAGACGGTCTCTAGGTCATAGCCTGGCTTCAGGTCCCCGAGGCTTCCCCCCACAGGCCAGCCCCTTCCCTTACCTCCTCTGGGTGCCCTTCCAACTGGGCCATTCCCCTCCCCACCTGGCTGTGAGAGGAGCTGGCTGTATTCCAGAACTTCTCCCATCCGTGCTCACTGCCCCCCTCCTCGGGGGCTATGCACATGGCCCTTCTTAAAAGCTTAAGGAGCTTTGCTGTCAAATACCAAGAATTCAAGACTTGAGGATGTTACAGAGGTTGAGGAAACATTACGGGAAGTTGCTCGGCTGGGTCCCCGATCTGCTGAGATCACGAGTAGGGTACTCAGACCCTCTCCAGTGGTAATGTGTGTTGGCGGAGGGAGGTAACCCAAAGTGGTTCTCACCTTGTCCTGACCTATGGATTCTTCCTCTTGTTTTTAAACACGGACCCCATGTTTTGAAAGTTTTTTATCAGCCAAATTTCAACGTAAATGAAAATTTGTTTCTCCATCTGAAAAAATTATTCAGAGCCACAAAACTGAAAGGGATTCACTCTCCAGTGCCCACCTTTCTGGTTTGTATCATTTACATTTTTTCAGAATCAGCTTATGTTATTTACTAACAGATTCTAGTGTGTTTAAAAGGCTCAGAAGAGAAAAAAGACAAAGGACAGGAGTGAGCTGTTTGTGTCAGTTTGCCTGAGGTCTGGAACTGATTGCAAAATTTTAATAAAAAAGCATTACCTATCCTGGTTGACCGTGTAGAGTGGTAGCTGAACTCTGAAGCATTTTTGACAGGTAAAAGCCCAAGTTTCATGAAATATCGTAAAGAGATTTCCCTCTCAGAAGCCCCTTTACTAGACACGTACGAGGGTTCTGACGTTTGGAAAACAATGTCCCATACCCGGGTTTCAGAATGATATACCTCACCCCTACTGGAGGGTGGAAATTGACTTTCTTTTCCTGGCAACCAGCACGAAGCTGGGCGAGCAGTAGGGGTTCAGTAAATGTCCACTGGGCGGATATTTCAGAAGCACTCCTCAGCCATGCCTAAGTCTGTGCCTGAAAGAGAAATCCCTACGCCTGCGCCCTTAACTCAAAAAGCAGGGAAAAGTGCCTATAGGTCCTAAAATACAAAGCTTTTTCCTTTCTTCCATGGCCTCTTTATTGACTTGTCATGATGTGTTTTTTTTAACTTGCTTTTTAATGACATTGTAAGTAAAGAAAAATTAAAATTTTGAATGACTTGCATGAATTTTACATTCGCCTTTATATTGTGCAACGCCTGTTTTAAATGTAAATAGATGCGCATTTCACTCATGCGTTGAATCACCAAAAGGACACGATTCCTATTTCACAGCTCGTATGTGCACGTGTATTTTGTTCCTACCAGGACAGTAGACATGGGGCACGAAACTAACTCAGGTGTTTTTGTTTCACTTCTTGATACACACACATTCCATCAATACACACCACCTTTGGCCTAGTGGTAAAGGAGGAACAGAAGGGAAAAGGAAAAGTCTGTCCTTCTTTTCCTCCTGTGTCATCATTTTCAGTGTAAGTGGGTGAGTAATGCAGGAGGTAGCAGAAATCGGGAAAGACAGGCTATCCCAGGATGGCCCTTGGTTGTTGGCGTTTCTCAGAATGCACAGCTTTCTGTCGGCTTTGATTCAAGCTCTGGTTCCAGCAGGGAGCCTGGCCTCCCGGGCTGCTCTGTCGTGGATGTGACTCCTTACCTGTACTCTCTCTGAGGTTTTCTGAACCCCGCGCATCAAGGATGCCCTGGGATTCTGTGCTCCTGGGGCATCAGGAACACCAGGTCAAATGCGGCATCAAGGAACAGTGGGTCCATATACTGTGTGTATCTCCCCAGCTCACATTCATGCCCACCGTCCCATGAGACTTCACTTACAAAACACAAGTTCAAAGATAAATTATTAAGAATTCTGAGATGGGGCTTCCCTGGTGGCGCAGTGGTTGGGAGTCCGCCTGCCGATGCAGGGGACGCGGGTTCGTGCCCCGGTCCGGGAGGATCCCACGTGCCGCGGAGCAGCTTGGCCCGTGAGCCATGGCCGCTGGGCCTGCGCGTCTGGAGCCTGTGCTCCGCAATGGGAGAGGCCCGCGTACCGCAAAAATAAAAAAAAAAAAGAATTCTGAGATGAAACAGCCGAGCATTAAACCAGGCACGGGGCCCTGTGAGGCTAGACTTGTTTTTGGCCCAGGAAGCCAGCGAGGACCCTCATGTGGGTCACAGTTGTGGACGGTGGCCCCGTTAGGGCAGAACTAATCCTTTAAACAAGTGGGCTGGTTAAGTGCTCTCGGATCCCTGTTAGTGATTTATATCTTTGGAAAATGCTGGGGGCTGCCGTTTCCTTTCCAGGCCTCCACCCTCCTGCTTCAAATCATTTACATTTTTTAAAAGTCAGCTTAGGTCATTCACTAACAGGTTCTAGGGGTTTTTAAAGGTTCAGAAGAAAAGAACAAAGGAAAGGAGTAGAGGTGGGTGTTGTCCATTTCGTCTGAGGTCTGGAACAGATTGGAAAGCACAAAGCCTCTAGGAGTTCTGAGGCCCGTTTAGAGACGCTCACCAGCTGCTCCGGGTACGATTATTTTTATGCCCAAACTGAGCAGATAGGTTGGGACAGAGGAGGGAGTGGCCTAGTGACCAGGGACCCAGGACGCTCAGGGTTGGAGAGGAGGGGGAGGGGGAGAAGGGGCCACGTGCAGGTGCCACGTGACTCCACAGTTTGGAGTGGGTTTTGCACACACAGAGGCTTAGGGAAGCCAGGAATTTTATTCCAGAAGAAAGAAACTCCTCTGTCTGTGGGCAGAGAGGGTGAGACAGGAAGTTAGAACTGGGAGCCCTGGGAGAGAATGAAATACTCAGAAAGCAGTTTGCACTTTCTGAGAGCTCTGAGCACGTCGCTGAGAGCTTTTAAGTTGCTGGAAACCGAAAGTTCCAAGCAAGTTCTAGGAAGCAGGTACTGGTACCGTGAGCTGGAGGAGGGTGGAAGGAAGCCCACCCGCACCCCTTTTATTAACATCTTTTTTGGAGTATCATTGCTTTACAGTGGTGTGTTAGTTTCTGCTGTATAACAAAGTGAATCAGCTGTACATACACATATATCCCCATATCCCCTCCCTTTTGCGTCTCCCTGCCTCCCACCCTCCCTATCCCACCCCTCTAGGGGGTCACAAAGCACCGAGCTGATCTCCCTGTGCTGTGCGGCTGCTTCCCACTAGCTGTCTGTTTTACATTTGGTAGTGTGTATATGTCCATGCCACTCTCGCACTTCGTCCCAGCTTCCCCTTCCCCCTCCCCATGTCCTCAAGTCCATTCTCTACGTCTGCATCTTTATTCCTGTCCTGCCTCTACCACCCTCCCTCCCTTTTTAACGTAGAAAGGAAAACTGGGTTAGAAAGAAACAGTGATGATAACAAGTAAAAGATTAGCGGGAGAAACCATGTTTACATCATACCTTTAGTTCCTTTGAATCGGTCTGCCTTCTGCCTTGGTTTTAATTTACTGTATGATTAATGCTGATTGTGAGTTGCTGTTTCCGTCATTAG